GAAGTGTCTGCATCGGGGCCTCCGTCAGAGGAAACGGGGAGGAGTGAGGGGTAGCCCGCAGGCGACCCTCGACACAGGGGACACAGGGAGGGCCAGGCCCCGGAGGAAGGGGAGGGAGGGACCCGGGAAGGCCAGAGATGAGAAGGCGAGAGACCATGCCCTGGAGACGAGGCAGGGAGGGGTGACCCATCCTGTGGTGCCACAGGAGGGTCTCGTGGGACAGGAGGCGACACGAGCAGGGGGCAGACTCAGGACCAGACCTGGACGCTGCAGCAAACACCTGACCCGACGCAGCTATCTGACCAGACGCAGGAGGAGGAGACGGAACAGTGAGTGTGTACAGGCTCGACCCCGGAACACGTGTGAACGTGGTCAGGTGTCGACCCGTGTCCGCGTCTGTGCAGTGGGTAACCCGTCGGCGCGCAGGGGTGAACTGGTCAACCCCTGCATCCTGTAGGTCAGCACCTGCCACCAAGTTCGTAGAGAACGAGGGGAGGTAGAGACCGGACAGGGCGCCAGACGGGACCGCAGGGCACGCAGGACAGTGGAGTAGCGAGCCAGAACAGGACCCCCAGAGGGGTTTGCCAGGGAGACCGCCACTGGCCGACTAAGCGGCGTGAGTGTGGTGCGGTCTCGAAAGAAGGAGCGAGACGCCCCGGAGTCAAGAGTGAAAGTGAGAGAGGGTGGAGCCGACACAGTACCTGAGAGAGCAGACTCACCAGCACCTGAGGACTCAGACTCACTGGCACCTAGAGCAACAGCCTCACCAGCACCTGGAGCAGCAGCCTCAACAGCACCTAGAGCCGAAGTACCAATGCCCGGGTCGGGCGGGAAACACCAGTAACAGTCACCCTCCTCACTAATAGTCACAGCATACATGGCAGCAAGAATAGCATCAAAGTCAAGATCAAAGATAGCTACTCCCGCCCTAGACAGCTGGTCCCAGCGAGGGATCTCAGAGGCGTCAGGAAACTGGCGGCGCCAGGCGTCAGTCAGGCGGCCGAAGCAATGCTGGGCGGAGTGTGGACCACCACACTGCTCACCCGCACGGTCGCCAGTGCGCAGGACGTAAGTGCACGGACCAGCACCCCCACCCCGCTGACGTGCAGAGTACCACTCACGGAGCTGCTGCAGAGAGAGGGTTTCCTGACCACGCTGCTGCTGCTGGCGCTGACCACTACCGGAGCCACTCCTCCTCGACGAGCCACGACCTCCGTCGCCTCCTCCGCCGCCGCCACCACCTCCGCTGCCACCGCCACTCCCACCGTCGCCGCCGCCGCCGCCGCCTCCGCCTCCACCCCCACTACCACCGCCGCTGCCGCCCCCGCCTCCACTGCCTCCGCCAACACCTCCACTCCCACCACCACTCCCGCTACCACCCTCACCTCCTCCGCTGCCTCTACCGCCGCCTCCACCGCCCCCGCCGCCTCCACCACCGCCCCTGCCCCCCTTGCTCTTGCCAGAGCGACGTCTCCCACTGGGGGCAGACGCCGCACCGACCGACTCAAAACCAACTAGGTCGGCCGTAGCAGCAGAGGCGACAAAGGGCAGGAGGGGGGAGGGGGAACACCCCTCAAAGATGGGGGTGCGTGGGTCACCACGAGAGGCCCCTACAGCGAGAATGCTCTTCTCGGCTGCTAGGAGGGACTTCTCGAGGAGCTCGACAGTGAGAGTGGTGGGGCAGACTGCGAGTAGGTCGTCCCTGACTCCGCGAAGGCAGTCAGGGAGGCGGGTGACAATGTAGTAGAGAGTGAAGTACTGGGGGGGGGGGTTCTTGGCGCAGAACTCAGCAGGAAGTGCAGCGCGGAAGCGAGCGTCACTAGTGCGCAGGTGGGTAATGAGGTCGGCGACTGTGGCAAAAGCAGCAAGGTCGGGAAAGAGGTACGGTAGCATGAGGCGGCTCAGTGCAGCAGTGGCAGGGGTGGAGTAGCGTGCAATAACGGCGTCGTACAAGGTCTTAGCACTCTTGTACGACCCAAAGTGTGCACGCTCAGCGGGAGGGAGGTGGCGAGGCACAGCAAGACGTGCAGCAGCATCGCGTGTGGCCCACTGTGAGCGAACAGTGGCATCCTCAGTAGCAGCAGGGGCGGGAGAGGCACCAGAAGTGAGATCAAAGAGAGAGAGGCCGTCAGCTCTGTCGCACTGTAAGAAAAGCAGTAGGTCGTCTACCCACACGTCAAAGTCGATGGCTCTGCCCTCACCGTCAAAGGTAAGGACACTGGGGGTAGCCATGACAGCAGTAGAGAGAGGGCAGTGCGCAGAGTAAAGCTCAGTGCTCACCAGACAGTGCAGTGCAGGGAGGGCTCGGGCGGCTCGGGCGGCTCGGGCGGCTCGGCGGCTCGGCTGCTGGGCGGCTCGGGCGACTCGGCGGCTCGGGTGCTCGGGCGGCACGGCTGCAGGGGCGGCTCGGCTGCTGGGGCGGCTCGGCTACAGGGGCGGCTCGGCTGCTGGGGCGGCTCGGCTGCTGGGGCGGCTCGGCTGCTACGGCGGCTCGGCTGCTGGGGCGGCGGGGCCGGGAGATGAGGCGGCGGGGCCGGCAGGTGTAGCAGCAGGGGCCGGTAGGGGTAGCGGCGGGGCCGGTTGGAGCAGCGGCGGGGCCGGCAGAGGGGACGGCGGGGCCGTCGGGTGCAGCAGCGGGGCCGGCAGATGCAGCGGCGGGGCCGTCAGAGGGGACGGCGGGGCCGTCCGAGGGGACGGCGGGGCCGTCAGGTGCAGCAGCGGGGCCGGCAGAGGGGACGGCGGGGCCGCGTCTGAGCAGGCGGCGGGGCCGCGTCGTAGCGGGCGGCGGGACCGCAGCTGAGCAGGCGGCGGGGCCGCGTCTGAGCGGGCAGCGGGGCCGCGTCGTAGCGGGCGGCGGGGCCGCGTCTGAGCAGGCGGCAGGGCCGCGTCCGAGCAGGCGGCGGGGCCGCGTCGTAGCGGGCGACGGGGTCGCAGCTGAGCAGGAGGCGGGGCCGCGTCTGAGCAGGCGACGGGGCCGCGATCGAAATGGCGGCGGGGCCGCGTCCGAAGGGGCGGCGGGGCCGCGAGGGAAGGGCGACACGGAGGGTCGCTCGAGCGAGAGGAAAAAAAAGTTAGCGCGCTTCGGTGGGCCCTAGGCGAAGTTCCCATAGGGAACCCGCTCTATACCATGTGAAAGTTGTAGAACAGGAATGTGTGAACTATGAACGAAGGCAGTACAAATATGAAACCCTAACTGGTTGTACCCCTTATGGGATACCCCACTACAGCCTATACAATAGTATAAGCTAAAGATATGTTCTGACAATCATCAATCGTTACAACCATATGTAAGAGGTGTTTCGACTTTGTTCGTTGGGGTGGTTAGGTTAGAGTCGACGATAATTGAATCTCATCGTTTCCGCCGTCTCCCGAAAACGCTTATCTCCTAGTGCGCATTCAGTCAGCTAGCGCCGTGGGAATCGCTCCATCGTCACTGAAATCTTCAAAGACTAATTGCCCCTAACTCGTTAAGAGTTGCACGATTTCCATCGTACTACGCGGTGCTTGTCTTCCATTCCATTTCATTGTCCAACGAATTAATCTCCAAGAGTCACTTTACATGTTATTCAATGATTAGTTGTTCTTGAATATCATTAAATTCATATTACTTTATATAAATGTAAGGATTTTTTTCCCCTTACTTCGCATCCCTGCTTACCGCGTACACGAATGTTCCCGCCACAACACCCCCTAAATTAAACCGTTACCACTTCGCGACACCCGTCTCGACCAGCGTTCCCGCTACTGTTCCCAACGCGACCCAATCTTACGGCTCGGCTAGTAATCCGCGCTCCGGTCCTCCGCCTAGAAAATTCCCAACCTCAGCACCAGGCCCGTCACGCACCCCACAATCCGTTGGCCACATTAGTTTACTATCTAAAATTCGCTCATTCCTTCGCTCATGTACTGATTTACTCAGATAGTGCAATCTTAGTTAGTTCACTCAATTGCACTTGTAACAATATCAAATATAGAGATCGCTTGATTTTCGTTGACTGTGTTGAAGCAGCCAAATCTCCATTGCTGGGAGCTGCGCCAACGTTTTGCGCCCCTAAGCTCCGCCTCCCCCATGACCCCATTCCCCCACCCACCCCTTCCCCGTCACCAGCTTCCCCCCGGTCTACTTGCGCACAAGGCGGTGAGGCCACACTCGGTAGTGCGGTTGGGATGCCCGGCGAGGCGAGCGCATCCGCGCTGCCCCGCTGCTTTCCTTGCCAGCAGGACACCTTCTCGCTGCTCCATTGGCTCGCTTCACACTCGCTGTCGCAATTTGCCAGATGTGACTCACACAACGTGCTTCACGAATCACGATATGCTTTACCCTCTCGACCAGCTATGGCTGTTCAAGAAGACGACGACGACCAGAAAGCACCAGCGCGAGCCCGGCAAAGACTTCCCTTTGCCGCGCATCTCGCTCCGCGCCCAGCGGATGCGTTCTGCCCTGCGCGCGTGCCGCTGCTGCTGATGCGATGCGAATCACCGCCAGCGCCACCACCAGCCGCTCACGCGTCCTTGCTCGTCTTGGTGACACCAGCGCTGCGATGCCAATGATGACAGGAGGACTAACTGGCAAGTGAGACGCCAGGCCTGTTGGTAGATTGGAGAAAGCCTACTTACAGACCGCTATTGAGCTCACAAGAGGTATACGAAAGCGAGAGCTGGTCGTCAAATCCGTTTCTGCGAGCCCGCTTTTATATTCAAGTCACCAGGCCATTCCATCGCGCTACGATTGTGGTCAACGCGTAATAATACAATTTTACGAGAATCCCTCCCTCCGGTCAGAACTAACGATTTCCCGAATCGCCGTTTTAGACGTTTCAAGTTCAGGGTTTCCGAGAGTGACTGCACACTCTGGCGGTCGCGAAAGCTGAGTGACGCACCCCATCTTGACACCGTGCAGAGCGACTTGGCGAGCGACACTAGCAGTCGCCAGCGTTTCACCGCGGAGTCGCAGAGTCGTCGCACGCCGATACTAGCGTAGCAAGAAAGGAACTAAGATGATGACGACACACGTCCGCATCCGTTCAGCCTTAGGAAATGCGGCAGTTGCAAACCCGGCAGTCTTTCCCCTCAGCCGCAGCATCGCACTCATCGTATTGATCACCGTCGCCGCAATCTTCGGAGTTTGCTCCGCTCCGCCTCCTATTTCCGCTTCGAATGCGCCCGAACGGCCTTCCGCGTCGCCGCGCCTCCGGCGGAGCCTCCGACCCCGCCTCCCCTCCGCCGTCCATGCGGAATTCTCTGCCCCCCTCACCGCCGCGCAAGCCGCGCCTTGCGGAGCTGCTGCTGCTGCGACAACCAGACGCGCTACTTTGAGCGGCGGCGATTTCCGTCGCGACGAGTCGCAGGACGCGCTGCGACGGCGCAGGCGACTGGGCGGCAAAGTCGCCGGGTGGAATCTGTCGCTGGGGCAGTACGCGCTGGCGACGAATCGCACGCGTCGCAGGGACCCGCTGAACGGGATGCGCGTGTACGAGGGCGGCTACGACCCCGCCAACCTGCACTACTGGGCCGTGCGTTCCCGCGCCACGCCTTTCACCCGCCTCACCACCACACCGCACCACACCACACACGTTTATCAAGTTGTTATTAGCGGGATTGCTGCTCTCAGTAGCACCGCACCCAGTGCTGTACTGGGAATCACTTGAGCAGGGTCCGGTAGCTCTCCCCCTTCGCGCACCGCGGCCCCCCTCCTCCTCTCCTCCCCTTCCCCCCCCCCTCCCCTTCCCCCCCCTCTTCCCACTCTCCCCTCCCCACGTCGCTCCCCCTCACCTCCTCCCTCCCTCTCCCCCTCCCCCTTCCGCTCCCCGTCCCCGTCCCCGTCCCCCTCCCCCTCCCCCTCCGCTTCCCCCTCCCTTTCCCCCTCCCTCCGCCAGTCCCTGAGTGTGACAGCAGGGTTCGGACCGGTGATCGCGCTGCTGTGGCTGCTGCTGGGACTGGGCTTCATAGGCGGCTCGTGCTGCTGCTGCTGCTGCTGCTTCCATCCTCCCCCTCCTCCCATCCTCCCCTCCTCCCCACTCTTTCCTCCCCACTTCCCTTTCCGCTCATCCCGCTCCTCCTCCTCTCCCCTTCCCCTCCCCCTCCCCCTCCCCCTCCCCCTTCCCCTCCGCTTCCCCCTCCCTTTCCCCCTTCCTCCGCCAGTCCCTGGGTGTGACAGCGGGGTTTGGGCCGGTGATAGCGCTGCTGTGGCTGCTACTAGGGCTGGGCTTCATAGGCGGCTCGTGCTGCTGCTGCTGCTGCTGCCCGCGCCACTGGGCGCGCTTGAGGGACCTCACCCGTCGCCCCTACTCGCGCGCACACCTCACCCTGCCCCGCATCGGCCTTGCCATCGGCTCGCTGCTGCTGCTGTGAGTGCGCACCATGCAACGCAGGCCATCAGCAGAGCGTTGCATGTGCCTTGGGTTGGGATTTGAACCACCGTTGGCTTATTGCTCTCGCTGCTTATTTCACTCGCTGCTCATTGCTCTCGCTGCTCATTGCTCTCGCTGCTTATTGCTCTCGCTGCTTATTGCTCTCGCTGCTCATTGCTCTCGCTGCTCATTGCTCTCGCTGCTCATTGCTCTCGCTGCTTATTGCTCCCGCTGCTCATTGCTCTCGCTGCTCATTGCTCTCGCTGCTTATTGCTCTCGCTGCTTATTTCACTCGCTGCTCATTGCTCTCGCTGCTTATTGCTCTCACCGCTGCACAAGCAGCTGTTGCGCCTCGCACCTCTCACCTCGCCACTCCCGTAATCACAGCCCACCCCTCTCCACCTCTCTTTATCCCCGCCGGCTCGACAGGGGCGGGTTCGCAGTGATGCTGGCGGGGGCAATACTGCTGCAGAAGAGCATGGGCGTGGTGAGGGACGGAGCAGTGGAGCGAGTGGGGGCAGTGGTGAACACGGTCTACAACGTGTCCCAGGCCATGGCGGGGCTTACAGAGGTGGACGTCGGTGGTAACCAGATGCCTGGTACGTGCCCTGGGTGGTGGTGTGTGGTGTGCGGTGTAGAGCGGTGCGAAGACGCGGGGAATGGTGAGGGATGGACGGAGCAGTGGAGCAAGTGGGGGCGGTGGTGAACACGGTGTACAACGTGTCCCATGCCATGGCGAGGCTTACAGAGGTGGACGTGGATGACAACTAGGTGCTCGGTACGTGTAATGTGCCCTGGGTGTGCTGTGCGGTGTCGAGCGGTGGAGAGGTGTGCGGAACCGTGCAGAGCTGTGCGAGGTGCTGGCAGGTGGGGAGAGCGGGGTTGAGGTAGATGATGGGTATTGGTGTGGTGGCTGATAAGAAGCATGCAGCAGGGAAGGTGTTCCCTCAGATGTTAGGTATTGATGTGGTATTGATGCGGAGTTCCTCTTTAATGTGTTCCGTCCGCCTTTTATCATCGCGCTCACGCCCATCTACTCCTCCCTCCCTCCCTCCTCCCTACTCCCTCTCCGCCCTCCCCCCCCATCATCCCCCTTGCACACAGACAGGGCGGGCGTGTTACGACGTGCGCAGGAGGCGTGGTCGATAGCGGATGGCATGCAGAGCTCGTTCAACGGCGCCCGGGACACGGCAGACCGTGCCATCAAATACATGTACGCGCTGCACACACACACACACGCGTGCACAGCGGGGATGGGCGACGTGTTTGTAGGTGTGTTTTGAGACGTTTCAGAACACGTCTACAAACACGGCAGACCGTGCCATCAAATAAATGTACACGCTGCACACACACACACACGCGTGCACAGCGGGGATGGGCGACGTGTTTGTAGGTGTGTTTTGAGACGTCTACAAACATGGCAGACCGTGCCATCAAATACATGTACGCGCTGCACACACACACACACGTGCACAGTGGGAATGGGCGGAGGGTGGGGTGAGGGTGATGGATGGGGAGGGCTGTGTGGCTGTGTGGCTGTGTGGCGTGATGGCATGAACCATCCATAGATGGACCGCCCACCACCTCATATGCACCTTATTGCCAACCACAGCCACCCTGCCTCCTCTCACCCCACCCCCCATGTCCCGCCTGCCCCATCTCCCCCTTACCCCATCTCCCTCTCATCCCGCTCGCCCCATGCATGTCTGCATCAGGTTCATGACAATGTTCGCCATGGGAGCTGTCATCACGGCGCTGGGCGCTCTTGGCGTGGGTGAGTGCTCTCTCTTGCCCTTCAAGTGCTCTCTGTTGCCCGTCACACCACACCCACCTGTCGTACCACTCGCAACATCCATGCCTCTTCTCTTTCGTCGTCCCAACTTACCCTCTCCCTCGCTGTCCGGTTTCCCCAAAGCGCTGTCCATGCTGCTGCATCAGCACCACCATTGCCCATCTGTCTCCCTGCTCCCCACCGTGCCTGTGTGCAGTCCTTGCGTTGATCAAGCTGGTTATCTTATCCAACATGTAAGCATGCATGTATGCTTGCATACATGGACACCTGCACAATCACATTTTCTTATGCTCACATGGGCACGCACACATGCACATGCGCGACTTCCCTTTCCATTTCCTCCTTTTCCTCTCTCTACGCCTCCCTAACCCTGTCTCTCCTTCTCCCCTCCTCCCCACGCGCCTGTGCAGCATCATCACCATCGTGTGGGTCGTGGCAGTCGTCACTTGGTGACTCACCTCACCTCGCTCTTGAGTCGACTCAAAAGTCATCCCTGTCTCTCTGTCTGCTTCCCCTTCTCCTGCTCGCCCGTGCAGCATCATCACCATCATGTGGGTCGTGGCAGTCGTCACTTGGTGCCTAACCTCGCTCTTCCTCCTCTCAGCCATGTGCGTGCCTTGTGTGCAATCACTCTCCTCGCACTGTGCCCATCACTGCATGTATATGTCTGCGACTGCGTGTGTGTGTGTGTGTGTGTGTGTGTGTGTGTGTGTGTGTGTGTGTGTGTGTGTGTGTGTGTGCGTGCGTACGTGCGTGCGTGCATGCGTGCGTGCGTGCGCACACGCGCGCGCGTGTGTGTGTGTCTGTGTTTGCACGTGTGCGCATGCTTTTGTGTGTCATGGTGTGACGACTTTTAGTCCAATCAGTAATCGCCCTCTCACTGCGCGCATCGCTGCATGTATCAGCCTGCGTGTGCCACGGTGTCAGGCGATGCATGTCCTCCTGCTCTCGCTCCCGTGCACTCACACTCGTTGCTGCATTGCACGGATCGACTTTTGAGTCGACTCAAATATCGACTCCATGCATGGGTCGACTACATCCACTGCTGCTATTCTCCCTCTTCCATTCTCCACACACCACCACGCACTTCCCTCCACTCACTCTCCTCCCTCCTCTCCCCTCTCCAAACCCTTTATCCCCTCCTCCCCTCTCTACAGGCTGGAGGGCGACACAGCAGTGGCAGCAAACGAGATACTCCACGACGCATCCCTGCAGAAGCAGGTGCTTGGCTCGCTGCCCTGCTCCGCCCAGCGTAGCCTCGCCTCCGTCCGTGTCAGCATCCTTGCTGCCAGCGCCCAGGCCACCAGCCTTGTCAACACCACGGTTGCCAGCACCTACCCCCAGGTATTGCTTGCAGGGAAAGAGAGAGAGAGAGAGAGAGCGCACCTGGAGGAACCGTGTGGGAGGGTGTAGGCGAAAGCGAGTGTGCCGCTGCCATGCATTATCCTCACATTGCGCTCCCCACGCTGCTCTCCCTTCACTGCTCTTCCCATGCTGCTCCCACCACGTGCTACCACACGTCTCCCTTCCCCAACGCCTGCTGCCCCACCAGGTGCTGCAGCAGATGCCAGGAGGACCCTACAGCGCCGTGTGTGTGCCGTACGCCCCTGCGCCCTCCTACACCCCCACCACGTGCCCTTCCACCGCCATTGACCTGCAGAGTTTCGCTGCTGTAAGCCCATGCCCACTCTCCCCCCCTCCAACACATTCTCCTCCTCTCCCCCCTGCGCACTCGTCTTCTCCCTCTACTCTCTCGACTCTCTCTTGCCCATCCCATCACACTCTCATTAACTCCAGCTTTATGATTCTTCTCATGTGCTTCTCATACTCGCCTCAACAAACCTCTGTGCGCACTGCTTGTATTGCTTGGCTTGTGTGCCATCCCTGCCCTTCCTCCTGACTGCCATTGCCCTGCTGTTGCTACCCTCCCCGGCGCACCGCTACTATTTCCTCGCATGTGCACCATCCCTATCCGTCCTGTCCTGCCACTTGGTCATCTTGCCCTCATCAACACACCACCCTGCCCCATTCACATGCTCTTACCAGCACTCTCCTTCACCTCCCTCTCCATGCGGCCCACTTGTATCAGAACCTGTACGGCCCGGCGAGCAGCGGCATGGCAGTGGGGGTGGTGGAGGACATAGCAGCAGTGAGCATGGGTATAGCAGCACTCAACGGTTCCCTTGCAGCTATGGGCGCCGCTGCCAACTGCTCCTACGTCCTCGACTCGCTGCATGTGGGTTAGGGGAAGAGGGGGGGAGAGAGGCATGGAGTGAGAGATGTGTGCGGGAGGTTATGGGGGGGAATGTGGGAAGGGGGGATGGGAGAAGGGAGGCGGGTGGGGGGGAGTTGGGGGGTGGGGTGAGAGATGGCATAGCAGCAGTGAGCATGGGCGTAGCGGCACTCGACCGTTCCCTCGCAGCCATGGACGCCGCGGCCAACTGCTCCTACGTCCTCGACTCGCTGCACTGCATGTGGGTTAGGGGGAGGGGAAGGGGGGGGAAGGAGAGAGGGGAGGGGTTCGGGAGTTGCTTTTTGTGGCGCCTCAGAAATCTGCTCTTATGTTTTCGACTCCCTGCGTGTGGGTCTGCGTGGAGGGGAGAGAGGGGAGGGGTTCGGGGAGTTGTTCTTCTGTGTTTGTGTGGGGGTGGAGAAAGGAGTGGGGATATGTGGGGAAGGGAGGGGGTTGCAGGAGAGGAAGAGGAGGTTACAATAAGGTTGGCAGGTGGTTCAGGAAGGGAGGATGCAGGCAGTTCCTAGTGAATTCTACGGAGGCCTCGTTTCTTTGCTCCACATTGTCACCTGTTCCTGCTACTCCCCTCCTGTCCCTCCCTCTTCTCCCCTCACTCCCCACCCTGCTTGCACAACTCTGCCTATCCCACGTCCCCTGCACGAGCACCAATTTGCCATGGACCAAGGCGGCAGCATAGAGCTAGACCTGCAGCTGCTCTGGATTGGCTTCCTCACCCTCTCCCTTGCCTGCATGCTGCTGTCCCTCCCTCTTCTCCCCTCACTCTCCACCTTGCTTTCACCACCCACCTCCCTCCCTACACAAACACCAGTATGCCATGGACCAGGGCGCTAGCTGCTAGCATAGAGCTGGATCTGCAGCTGCTCTGAACCGGCTTCCTCACCCTCTACCTTGCCTGCATGCTGCTGTCCCTCCCTCTTCTCCCACCGCCCCCCTTGGCACAAACACCAGTATGCCATGGATCAGGGCGACCGCATAGAGCTAGACCTGCAGCTGCTCTGGATTGGCTTCCTCATCCTCTCCGTGGCCTGCATGCTGCTCGCCCTTTGCATCCCTGTTTACGTCTACCGGGCCGTGCGACTGGGACACGAGCCTGAAAAAAAGGGCGATGCCGCCGACCCTGATAGGTATGGAAGATTCCCAGTGGGGGGGTTGAGGGCGGGGAGGGATTAGAGAGGGGGGGGGGGGGGGAGTTGGAAGTGCACTCTGGACTTTCCTGAAGTTTCTTTCTGACAATTGCTTGAATTTTCAACTGTTAAGCCCGAAGTTGGTTATTTATTTCTTTCTTTTCTTTGCTTAACACTGCTTCGCGGGATGTTTTCCCGGCCTTGCAGTTTGTACAAGGCGGGAGTGAGCAATCCTCCTGTGCCTGCTGCTGCTCCTTACATGGCATACTCAAGTGGCCCTTCACATGGCAAGATGGGTTGTCTCCCACCAGAGAAGCCATGCAGCTATGACGGGAGTCAGGCCAGTGACACTTCCAGTGACACACGGCATTCCTACAAGTCCAGGACAGGCTGTGGCAATTACGATCAGCGCTGTATGACAGGCAACTGCCCTTATTGCCCTGGATATCTAGGGAAGTTTTGAGCGACCTGGCTGAAATTCATGAGTGCGCAAAACATCAGCCATGATCTCTAAAGGGCTGATCTTGGGCCCTTCTCTGGAAACTTACCGGTGTGTTTTTAGGCCGAACCCTGATTTCCCGGGAAGTTTTCGGGTCAAGACCGGTTTTATTCTCCCTCTAACCCCCATCGCAACCAAACCAATGCACTGCAGTGGACTGCACCAGTGTTCCATAAGGCATGATACCGTATTCAAAAGACCCCGGGACTTATGAACGGTACTGGGACTCTTAATACGGTATGTAGCACATGTGAGAGGACCCCCCTTTTTCTACAAAACATTTTAAGACCCCCCTTTTCTGTATACAGTAGTTAAAAATAAATATGCGCGTCAGCATTTAGAGGCACAGAATCCGAACTTTGACGCGTCATTTGTGTCAGAATCGGGTTCTGACACACCAATCGTGTCGGACACGAGATTAGACGTTTCCGACGCGCCGCTCGCACGAATTTCGCGCATGCGAGATTTTTCGGTTCGAACATAAGACCCAAAATATCAGGGTAAAATACCCTTTTTGCCCTTTCTGTAGGCCGCTTTTTTTCAGTTACCTTGATCAAGGCAGGCTAACCGTACAGTTACTCTTACTTCAAATTAGTGGTTTTTTTTACCCTTTCAAAAACAGTGTAACACAAGTGTTACTGTACCAGCAATCCGAAGAAACCCGTTCAGCCCCAGTAGACTATCGCGTCAAATTTTACCCTAGGCCATCAGGGTGGGACAGGTTGAGACCGAGATTAGGCAGGGTGGCCTAAAACCAATTTTTGGCCTAAAACCAAGATGACCACTTTTTAGTGCTCGCGAAGTGCTACCGAACAGGGCCATTGCTGTTGGGCTGAGAAAAGCCCTTAGGATCTTTGCAGGACTAAATTATGAGTAGGACAATTTAATAGCGGAAGCGTTTAATGAGAAGTTTGTGAACCACCTTGCGCTGGTATGTGAGGGCAAAGTAGATTGATTAAAACAAAGAGATACAAGCTTTTATAAGAAGGGAATATGAAGGGTTATAACTAATAACTGTTTTGCTGTTGCTGTTGCGGTTCGATATAGTGACGACTCGGGCAACTGATCAATAGCGAGTCAGTTGTTTGTCCTTGCTATCGCGCTGTACTTGTCAGGTTAAAGGTCGCTGACCTTTGACTTTCGCGTAACCTCCAGCAGTTGTTCAACCTCCGAAGGTTGACTCACCAATGCATCGATATGTTTCGCTTCGCTTCTGACTTGGTGTTTCGACACGACAGAGGCGCTAAATTAATTGTTTCCAACACTCCCCTTCGCTTCTGGAGTATCACTACTGGTGACGTGGCTTTGTCAGTCAGTAGCATGCAGTACTCGAACTTCTGCTTCACGAGCTTCTTGGTCAAGTAATCAGCTACCATCTCGGACGTGGGACAGTAAGACAGCTCGAGTCTCCCCTTCTCGATCTTGTCCTTCACGAACAAATATGGCAGGGCGATATGCTTCATCCTGTTCGCGAATCCATTTTTGTTGGCTATGCGAATTGCCGTCTGGTTGTCGCAGAATAAGGAGAAGCTGGGTAACTTGTGAGAATGAGAACGAGAATGAATCAACTATGAATGAAGTGAGTACATATAGGAAACCCTGATTGAGTTGTACCCCCTATGGGATACCCCACTACAGCCTACACAAATATATAAGCTATAATGTTCTGACACACCCCCATAGGCAAAGTGGGGGAGAACAAGGGGTCACAAGACCAGTCAAGCAAAGCAAAGCAAAGCTCAGGGTGGATCACAAAGTCACCACACATTCCGAGCACAAGTTCAAAGGCCAGAAGGCCAGTTCACATGCAAGATCACATATATATATATACAAGAGGCTAAGCAAGCAAGAGCAAGAGTATATATATATGTGAAAGTACAAGCAAGGTCAAGAAGTGAGCAAGTGAGGCAAGACATGCACAAGACCCAGCTGAGTGCAGAAGCGCTGATGATCACAAGGCGCAAGTGCCTTGGTGAAGACATCAGCAGTGTTGGCCTCAGAGGCCACGTACGCAAGCCGCAACTGTCCACGCTGCTGTAGCTCACGAGCAAGAAAGTAGCGGAGAGCAATGTGCTTTGTCCTGTGCTCCAGTCGCTGCTCTCGACACAAGGCCAGCATGGCCTTGTTGTCTACGTACAGGACTGGAGGAGAACGAGGCGGCTCTCCAAGGTCGGTCAGCAGGTAGGTGAGCCAGCAAAGCTCCTGGGCAGCCATAGCCCCGGCGTAGATCTCAGCCTCACAACTGGAGCCGAGAACAAAAGACGAGCGGGTAGCCCGCCACGAAACAGAGCCGGAACCAAGACAGAAGGTGTAACCCTGTGACGACTTTGCGTAGCCTGGTCGTCAGCCCAAGAAGCGTCCGCGTGCCCAGTGAGGACCACTGGACTCCGCCCTCCAAGCACTAGCCCCATGCCCGACGTACTGCACAAGTAGCGCAACACCCTCTTCGCTGCAGCCATGTGCTCTAGTCGGTGTCTCCCAGGAGCAACATAGTGTGCGAGAATGCTAAGAGGGTATGCAAGGTCAGGTCGTGTGCAGGTCATCAGGTACATGAGGCAGCCAACAAGCTCTGGATACGGGCCATTCGACTCTACGTACTCATCCGAAGGCAGAGCTGAGAGCGAGTGGCGAGTAGGCAGAGGAGTGGCCTGAGGCGAGGAGTACGTGAAGCCGAAGCGCTGAAGGACCTGCTGCACCATGTGTGACTGAGTCAGGGTAATGGTGCGGCGTGCTCTGTCCCGGGTGATCTACAAGCCAAGGTAGCTGCGCAGTTCACCCAGCTCAGTGCACGTGTGTCTCTTCTGCAGCTCGGAATTCACGTAGGCGAGTCCAGCAGTGTCAGCTGTGGCAAAGACCAAGTCGTTGACGTACACGAGGATGTAGAACGGCGGCAGAGAGGTGTCGGTGCGCAGAAACAGCGACGGGTCGGCAGTAGAAGGAGCAAACCCAAGTGCCGCCAGCGTAGTCCTCAGTGTGTCGTGCCACTCACGTGGCGCCTGGCGGAGACCGTAGACTGGACGCCGGAGACTCCACTCGGTACCAGGAGGGAAAGACCTAGTGAAGCCAGGTGGGCGGCGCAGCCAGATCTCCTCGTGCAGGCTGCCCTGCAAGAAAGCAGTGCTGAAGTCGAGAGAGTGCAGCTCGTAGTCACGGTGAGCAGCAACGTGCAGCAGTACCCGAAGAGTGGTCATCTTCGGTGTGGGGGAGAAGGTCTGAAAGTAGTCAACTCCCTGCCGCTGACTGAAGCCACGAGCCACGTAACGCGCCTTGAAGACAGGTGGAGAACCCGGCGGCCGCTTCACCCTGAAGATCCACATGCCACTGACGATGTTCGCCCCAAGAGGGGGGACAGCGTCAACGTAGGTGCCTGTGGACTTCTAGGAAGCCATCTCTGCATCCATAGCTGCCTGCCACTGAGAGGAGTAGGGACCCTCTATCGCCTCCGCGTAAGAGCGCGGAGTCGGGATGTCAAGTGCATCCGGGTCTCCCGCAGGGGTGAGCAGTACGGACACGAGATGAGGTGAAGCGGCGGCCAGACACTGGAACTCCTCCTGTCTGTCCCCAAGGACGTCCGTGCCTAAGGCACACTCACCCCCGACGGACGGAGGACAGACAGACTCAGACTCAGCGACAAGACTAGCAGCGTGTTCTAGACGACAACGAGCATCAAAGTCGACGAGCTCAGTAACAAGGGCAGACGCAGCAGTAGACCCGAAAGAAGGGCCAGTGACGGCAGTAGCAAGGAGACGCGTGACAGTAGGACTGGCAGCACGAAGAGAGTCCGACTCCGGGTCGGCAAGAGCAGGAAGAGAGGACTCAGGAGGAGAAGGCAAAGGGGCACGCAGAGGAGCAGTAGACGGACGCAGAGACATCCGGTGCGTGCTAGGGACAGGAGGAGGACGCTGACGGGAGCTGCGACCACTAGCGCGCGCAGCACGAACAGGCGACGCAGGACGAGACGCAGGCTCACGACGCTCAGTAAGACCCCCAGTAGGACCAGCGTAGGGAGAAGGAGCAGGCAAAGGGGAGGCAGGCTGTAGCTGTGACTGTGACTGGACAGGCTGTGGACCCTCTAAGGGAGGAGGAGGAGGACCAGTAGAAGGTGTAAGACCAAGAACCTGCTGCAGGAGTGGAACGAAGTACGGTCGAGGCCACGTGGCGACGCCAGAAACAGCAGGGACAGTACCAGGACCCCCAGCAGGAGTACCCGCTCCAGCAGCACCTCCAGCAGCACCTCTAGCAGCTCCAAAAGCTCCAGCAGCACCAGGAGCACCACCAGCAGGACCGCCAGTGGTAGTCTCTGCGCCAACACCCTCAGCAGCACCAGCTCCAGTCGAACCCGCAGGCCCAGCAGCTCCAGGACTCCCAGGGCGAGCACCTCCGGGACCCGCGATAGCAGCACCCTCAGTAGCCGACGAACCTCCAGCACCTGCAGCACGGCTCCAGTGCCGGGCAAACCACTCGCGCAGCTCCTGTGGAGAGAGTGGCTCTCGGCGAGACGAAGCACCCGGAGAACCTCCAGGCGGAGCACCTCCAGGCTCAGCACCCCCAGACCCAGCACCCCCAGGCAGGGCACCTCCAGGCGTAGCACCTCCAGGCTCAGCACCCCTAAGCTCAGTACCCCCAGGCTCAGCACCCCCAGGCGTAGCACCCCCAGGCTCAGCACCCCCAGTCTCAGCACCCCTAGTCTCAGCACCCTCAGCAGCACCAGAGTCACCAGTGACCTCGACAGGCTCGACTGCATCTACCTGGGACACACCTGAAGGGGCAGGACCCTGAGGGGGGAGGGGGTCTACCGGGGGGGGACCTGGTACAAGGAAGAGCGGGGGCGGGGGAAGGGACGGAGTGCGGTAGGGGAAGAGGCGGTAGTGGGGTACCGACTCGTTGAACGTGACGTCCTGGGAGGACAGAACACGGCGAGAGTGCGACTGCCTCTGATCCGCCACGACGACCTCGGGATACCA